TTTTTTTTAAACTCTATCTTTGATTCAAAGGAACCAACCAACAGTTTTTCTCAAAACTAACAATATTTTTTGTAATTCTAGTGAAAAAAATTAATCAAAAGTTTTTGTAGACTTCAATTTTTTTAATTTTTGTCATGCCTAGACGGCATTTATCCGCACCAGAAGTCGCTCAGCTAGTGACTCTCGTCCAAGAAGGGCATACGTATCGGGATGTCGGCAATCGACTTGGCGTTAGTTCCTCGGTCGTGTCTCGGAAACTTTTGATTAACTTTTTTCACTAGAATTACAAAAAATATTGTTAGTTTTGAGAAAAACTGTTGGTTGGTTCCTCTAAATCAAAGATAAAGTTTTAAAAAAACTGTTTTTTTCACACTTGTTAGCTTCGTAAGAAAGTTTAGGATAATACGCACTATTTTATCGCAGACCGAGGACTACACCAACCTTGGGGGTATCAACTTTTAATCAATTTCGTTAATTCAAAATAAAGGAAATTACGGTACGGAAAGAGTACATCGCTTCAAAACAGACTCAATATTTTTATCTTGGGTTGTTAAAAAATAAAGAGTTAATTTTCAAAAAATCTTCATTTTTTTTTCTAATTCAATGAGAAAAAATGCCCAATTGTGAAATAATTGAAAAAAAAAATAAATTTTTCATTTTTACGAACGTTACAGGGTGCTCAGAAATGTAAATTTTGCTCCTTTAAATTTTTCTAAAATTTTGATTAAGCGGCCCGGAAAAACCGTTCGATAGATCGATCTGCCCATTCACGGAGCTTTTGGGGGATACATCGAGGTGTAAAAATTCGTACAAGCATTAGACTCTCCATCGATATTAGCAAAGATGCGGTCGACTTAGCAAAACAAGTCAAAAAGTCACTTTTTTCACATTTTTCAAGTTAATGTCGAGGATGAAAGAAAATTTTTTTCTTCCAATAACGCTACATAGTCTTGTAGGACATTTATTCGAGATTTCGAAACCGCCCGTCAATTTTCTGTCTGATCATTAGTTGCTGAGATATCGATGGTTAAAGCCAAAAGGATGCTTTTGTATTCGAAGTCGAATATCTCCGGGTCAAATTAACGTAGAGAAAAATTAAAAAAAATAAATTAAAGCTGAATGAACAGGCTATCAAGTTCATATCATGATTTTTGTGTAAAAAATTTTTCCAAGCCCGTGGACCGAGAAAAATAACGCAAAAATTTGAAAAAAATTTTTTAGTCTTGTTTCTTAGAATTTCGCGATGACTGTCGCTCCTAAAAATTTTGAGCTAAGAAATCTGGAAACTAGACATTCGGCGATTTAAAATGCTTTTTTTAAAACCTTGATACGATCATTTTTAACTGAGATACAGCATTCTGAAAAATCACTAAAAATTCGAAAAATTGTTTTGCTCCCTTAATTTTTTGCAGAAGTTTACTCAGATTATGAAACGTCTTCCCTATAGCCATCCTTGTCTTTCGCACGGATTTCTTTACTTTACTTTGTCGCTCTCTTGTAAAAGCAGATGGACCATGTGGATTTTCCAGCCCTGTATAACTATATCACGCTCATGCGTTGTATATTTCATTTCGCAACTAAGGCTAAAAAATTAAAAAATTCCCAGGTTGCAAGTTTGAAATTAAAAAAAAAATATAGATGTGAAAATGTATTATTATGAAATCTACCATGAAAAAAATCAATGCGATTGTGGAAGATGCTCGGGATCGTCCAGTCTAATAATCAGTTAATTTGTTTATATGGCCATAACTTGTAATCTATTCAACTTACCGATTTCAGATTTCGTGCGAGTTATTAGACAGTGATAAGGAATGAGAGGATGCGATACCAAAACATTCTCGTAATAATAACGCAGTTTATAAATGTTTAATTCAAAAGTAATAAATAAACTTCTTCTGTCTATAACTTTTGATCTAATTAATATTTTTTGACGCTCGAGGACTAGTTTTGTAGGTCTTTTGAAGACGAAAGAAAAAGTACGTTACTGCATGTTTTCTCGTGGAAATGAACGGAAAAAGTTATAAGCGAAAAACGTGACTTTACGTAAAAATTATACAATTAACCACCCTGTAAACAATCTTCCCCTATTTTTTAAGACTGTGGAAACTAATATGTTATTGTACATAATATTTAGCATCTATAGTGATAAATTCAGATTGTCGAAACAAACAGTCGCAAAATGGTCATTTCCTAGCTTATTTTCCTGGCCTATAATATAAAATATGCTCGCCACAAAATAGGTAACACTTTTAATGTTAATACAATATACTATTTTTAAGTTTTCAATGTTTATGATCTAATCGACTGGACTAGGTATGATTTCTCTTATCAAGAAAAAGACAATGTTCGTTCTACAAAGATTAGTGAAACTTAAGATTAAAAGATATATTGATTGCGGTTATCTTGAGAGATGCAACTTAGACAATGTTGCGAAATTTCGTTGCGATATTTTTTCGAGAACTGTCGTTAAATGTTGATATTTCAATCATGTTTCCTAAGTACCGAAATCAACTATAATTAACGTATTTTTTTAGAGATGGTTCGTATCAATTAATTTTTGAACGCTCTGAATAAAAAGTCAAATATTAATAATTTGAGTAGTATTTATAACTTTTGATAACATAGAAATTTACCTGTCATTTAAGCTCAATCCTAGCTGGCTATCACCCCCTGGGTGAAGGCCAAAAAAAAAGAAGAAGAAGAAGCAGAAGTTAACATCAATTCCTCATTGCTTGGTAGTGGTCAATGGTCAGTTTGTTTAAATACTAGTAGATTGTCTTTGAAAAAAACTTGTCCCGATAAAGTAATGTATTAAACAAATTAGTTCATATTGCATAGACATGGCTCCTTTTCACTGTATTTTTAGTTCAATGTTGTTGTTGTAATAACTTGGTAACTTGGTTTTAATATTTAGTAAATGTATACAAATTTTAACAATGTCCTTGCATCTCTCTGTTTCGATGGTTTTTAATTCAATCTCAGGTTATGTAAGTATGTAATAAGCTTTTATAACTTCTTATTCTAATGCATACATCAATTATATTTTATAGATGTCTTGAGAAAGGAAAAAAAACGTTTCTGAAAGCTTGACAACAAACTCAAGAATGTTGTTATTACATTAGCCCTTAGCTCTCTCTTAATCAAACAACATAAATAGTCACAAAAGAACCCTTATTCACTTTATTTTGAGGGTGATGAAATTTTAAAAGTAACATTCGACGGCATCCCATTTTTTCTAGGAAACCAGACTACATTGTAGTGGGCCTTGGAGTGCACAGCTTGAAAGAAGTAGGGACGGGAGTTTTGACATTGCAAACCAGCGACTATGTCGCTCACAGTGGCTATAATGGAGATACGTTCCAGAACGACATAGCCCTGATACGACTACCGCAAAACGTTACGTTCACCGAGTATATACAACCAGTGCAACTGGCCAACGGCATCAACAAATACGAGGGCGACAAAGCTACTTTGATAGGCTGGGGGCAAACGGAGAGCGTTAGCCTCTCACTGGTCCTGCGAGGAGTCAACGCGACCATCATGACGAATGATGCCTGCGGCAATGTAAACCCCACTTATAAAGAGGTAATTACAGAATAGAAAATCAATTCGAGACGAAATACGAGCGGTTAGAAATATTGTATACTGCGCGATACTGTCGATGTCGTCTCGTAATAAAAATATCCTGCAGTTATGTTCATTCCACTTCCGTTTACAGGTAATCAGACCCATGCATATCTGCACGTACGGCACTGGGACCGTCGGAGTATGCAGCGGCGATTCCGGCGGACCTCTCTTAGTGGACGGGGTACAAGTGGGCATCACTTCTTTCGGAACAGAAATCTGTACCCTCGGGATGCCTTCCGTGTTCACCAGGATCACAGAATTTCAAGACTGGATCGCAAGAGGCGCAGCAACCACCCACGACGCCCTGCACTTTACGGCAGTCGTTCTGCTCGCGTTGTGCTTCTCGTATCTTTTCAACTAATAAGACTGACGGGTTCACGTAATAATTTTATGCGCTGCGATGGAGCTCCAACCGTCACAGACGACTTTTAAGAGAGAATATTGTAAAGATAATTATAAACATTCGTGATTTTGTATCTACTTTAATAAATAAATATTTATATCACAACGCTTAGTTTTATTGATTACAGGACCCACCGGCCGATAGAAATATAAATGCAAGGTAGTATCACTCTTGATATTAGTAGTCCAGGAAAATTAGCGAAAAAAAAGAGAAACTCGAAAAAATTCCTATCCGCGATATTATTGTAAAATTGTCTAAAGGAATATAATACAAGACATCTCTCATCTCGTGAGTCAAAAACTGTTATTAGCTAACTTTTCTATTTAAACAAATAAGTGAGGAAAACAGTTTTTTCACTTTGCAGGGAAAACCATCAGTTTTAGCGAAAAGTGACTCTCAGACAGCTTGTAGGGAGTAAAATTATCTACAAAATGAGACTTGTTAAATTAAAATCGGTTAATAAACAAAAAAGTTATTGCAAAAAAAACAAGAAAAGTGCCCATTTTTTAATTTGTTTATAACTATCGCATTTATTGTTAAAATTTTATAAAACCTATGACAAGTTGAGGGTTTTGTCATACTTTAAAAGTGTGCCAAAAGTGGGCGCTGTAGGTGCCATAGTTTTCACACAATTCAATTTGCTTATAACGGAGCCTCCAAAAATTATGTACTTTAAAGCCTCTGTACAGGCGTTCATTTTCAACCAAACATGATTCTGAAAGTGTCATTGTAATCTTAAAGACGTAATTAAGCGACCTATTTAAAAAATATCACCCTTCTTTTGAAATTAACATTCTCAAATTGTGCATTAAAAAAACCGTGCTTTTTTCGCTTATAAACAATTTGAATAACACTGTTGCTATTTATGCTATCTCACCGAAAATAGATTCAATGGATAGCTGGCAAAAAAATACAATTTTTTTTTTTAAAAAGCACGCTTTAACAACCAACAGGAGTCAAGATAAGATTTTTTTTTAAATCGCAGCGCAATTGTTTATAAACATTAAGACTTGAATTTTTCGCAAAATAAAGTTTACGACGTAAACTACGATTTCCCGTGAATTGCATTGAATAATGTGGAAAATTAACGACTCACGAGCCCTTTAAAGAAAAGGTACTTGCTAAGTAAAATGTCCGGCGTGGTGGTGGGGAAGCTCGTCCAATCGAGCCGCACACGCGAGAATAATGAAATCCAAAGTTCAAATTGATGCGCATTGTAAAATTTTGCAATATCTCGGCTTCTATTCGTCGTAGAAACTACTTTTTTTTTTAACTGGTGTAGCTTGACGAAAAAATAAAAATGGGCATATTTATGAATTCGTAGAATAGCCCTCAACCCCCAGAAAAAATACATCTTTTATACTTGTCACAAAAATTATTGTTAAATGAAATATTAATTAAAATTTCAATTTCGAAATTATTTTACTGTTATTAAATAAATAAATAAAGCTATCATTCATTTAAAAAGTTATTTTTCATAAAAACAGCAAAAATTTTAAATTTTAAATTGTATTATATTGCATTATATCTATTATTGAAAATGATTGTAACTAATATTTTTTAAATTATGTTGCAAAAATTTTTTTGTATAAAATTAGTAATAAATATAATAAAAAAACTGTAATTTTATAGACCACATTATTTTTATTAATATTTTTTAATTTGGAGAATTTTGCAATAAATTCAAATGCTTTTTAAAATCTTTTAAGAATAAATAATAATTTGAAAATAATTTGTGAATTTTTACTTTAATTTTACATTTAAATCGTAATTAAATAACTAACAAAATATTGAAAAAATAAGTTTATTTTGGCTTAATATGTAAAAAAATAACGTTTTAAATAAACTTCATTTATTTATTTAATAATAGTAAAATAATTCCGAAATTGAAATTTTAATTAATATTTCGTTTAACAATAATTTTTGACATTTTTGTAAATTATAAAAAATTCAGTATAAGATGGATTTTTTCTAGGCTTCAGGGCTATTCTACAAATTCGTAAATATGCCCATTGTTATTTTTTCGTCGAGCTACCCCAGTTTAAAAAAAAAGAAGTTTCTACGATGAATAAAAGCCGAGATATTGCAAAATTTTACAGTGCGCATCAATTTGAACTTTAGATTTAACTTTTCTCGCGCGGGACTCGCTTGGGCAAGCTTCCCCCACCACCACACCGCACATTTTACTTAGCTAGTACCTTCTCTTTAAAGGGCTCGTGAATCGTTAATTTTCCACATTTTTCAATGCAATTCACGGGAAAACGTAGTTTACGTCGTAAACTTTATTTTACGAAAAATTCAAGTCTTATTGTTTATAAACCATTACGTTACAATTTAAAAAAAAATTCTTATCTTGGCTCCTGTTGGTCGTAGAGGGTACTTTTTGTTTTTAAATTTGTAATTTTTTGCCAGCTATTCATTGCATTATTTTCGGTGAGGTAGCATAAATAGCAACAATTTTATTCAAATCGTTTATAAGCGAAAAACGCACGGTTTTTTAATGCACAATTTGAGAACGTTAATGTCAAAAGAACGGTGATATTTTCTAATAGGTCCCTTAATTACGTCTTTAAGATTACAATGATACTTTCAGAATCATGTTTGGTTGAAAATTAACGCCTGTACAGGGGCTTAAAGTTCATAACTTTTGGAGCCTCCGTTATAAACAAATTGAATTGTGTGAAAACTATTGCACCTACAGCGTCCACATTTGGCACAGTTTCAAAGTATGACAAAACCCTCAACTTGTCATGGGTTTTATAAAATTTTAACAATAAATGCGATAGTTATAAACAAATTAAAAAATGGGCACTTTCCTTGTTTTTTTGCAATAACTTTTTTGTTTATTAACCCATTTTAATTTAACAAGTCTCATTTTGTAGATAATTTTATTCCCTACAAGCTGTCTGAGGGTCACTTTTCGCCAAAATTGATGGTTTTCCCTGCAAAGTGAAAAAACTGTTTTCCTCACTTATTTGTTTAAACAGAAAAGTTAGCTTATTAAATTTTTTTGACTCGCGAGATGAGAGATGTCTTGTATTATGTCCCTTTAGACAATTTTACAATAATCTCGCGGATAGGAATTTTTTCGACTGAAAAATTTTATTTTCTTGACCTATAGACTTTGGTTCCTAAAATTAGATTAAAATCGGATCGCCCTTACCCCGAAACCATCTTTACAAACAAAAACAGCAAGCAAAGTCCTATCGCCACCTTCTTTATATCTACGGTAGTCTCATTATCGACGTAACCCAAAGGCACCACGTACGGTTCTCTAATTCCTTGTCTTTCCAGAACTTTCACAACTTCCTCGAGAGCCTGCCTGTTTTTAATAACCTCTCTTACAGTGTGTTCGTTGGCCTGGATTAGATTGAGAACAACTGGGTCGCCCCCGGCTCGCTCCAAACTGCTTAGTTTTTCCTCCATGAACCGTTTGAGGTCTTGCTTCTTCACGGAAGTGTAGACGAATGCCAAGAAGGACCCCGCCATGCTCAGGATCAGCCCGAAATACTTTGTGTATTCCAGCTGGGCTCTTTGCTTCTCGTGCGAGTCTCTTATGGCGTTCGTGAAAGCCGTGAATAGTTCCCGCTCCGTTTGGTCGTAGTCTTGAAAGGTCCTGGATACTGAATTTTCCAGCTTCAGGATCTAGAAGAAGGATATCGTAAAAGTTCTTTGCTTTTCGGGTATGAACTACTTACTTCCGTTTCTTCCCTCATCAGATCTAAGAATTTCTGCAAATCCTCCTGTCTTTTCACTTTGTGTATTTGGTCTTGAAGTTCCAATGATTTTTGTCTGATATCGGCGAGTTGCCTACCAACTTCCCTACGTTTTTCTTGCGTTTCCAATAATTGGTCCTTAAATCGTACATTGTTAAGAACAATTCTGCGCATTTATAACGCAAGGAGAGGTAAATTATTACGTACCTACCTGTAAAGAAGTCACCCTGTCTTGGTAGAGCTTCACTTCGTCGAGACCGATCACTTTAACGTACCATTTGTTCAATCGATTTAATTTATCGTACATGAGCTTTTTATTCTCCTCCCTTACTTTACTTAGGTATTGTGGTGCCTCGTCTATGGTCAGTCTCAGAGATTTTTTAAGTGTATCCAATGTGGGATGTTTGATGAGCGATAAAGTCCGAACTAATTTCATTTTTCACTGCGACCTTTGTCCTATACAAGATGAATGAATTTAGATTCTTTACGGCTCGTTAAATATATTCTTGTGCTTGTGTACTTCTTAGACCTTCATACAAATTTAAAAGACGCATGGAAATACTTAATTACTTAGGTTGACAGTGTACTTAACCTCTAAATACTTTCAACTGTCTTCCTCTTCTTTTATAGAAAGCGATTTTCTTTTCTTCTTCTTCTAGCCACATTCAAAATTGATTATGAGGGGGAACTCTAGAAAGTTTCGATTAATAATGCAACGATAGGTGGCAGTGTACAAACAAACATAGAACCAAAGTTGAGTGAAGTGACAGAATATTTCAATTAACGAATAGAATGTCCGCCAATTTTACAGGAAATATTTTGCCTGATATTGATAACGTCAAACAAAAGCAGTTAAGCCGCGTTCAGATACATATTTGTCCTCCAATTTTATTGGCTGCAAAGTAGTCCTGTAATTAAGCAACCAGTAACAAGGAAACAAATCATAAACAAAGAGCTCGAAGCTTATATTTGCACTTGGCTTTAGATTCTAGACAGAAATGAGCCAGAAACCTTAGAATTATTGTTCATGTGGTTTGACTGGAAGAACATCGTGCTGTAATCTATATTAATCTATTTGTAATTAATTTAATTGTTGACAGGTATCTAGTGATAATGTGAGAATAGAAACTAATAATAAGATAAAAGCAAATTATTAATAGTAGAGATGTTCAATTATATGTCAAAAAAAATTATTTGTTGTAACAGTAACATATCTAAATGGCTTTTTATATACAGGGTATTTCAGGCATAAGTCCACAAACTTTGAAGAACTGTTCCTCTGGGCAAAAGAAGTAAAAAAATGTATGTAAATATATATACACAGGATATTTGGAAAAACAAAATTTAAGAAATCTTATAAATGAAGAAACATCTTTAATTAGTAGAATTTTAGTACAGCCGAAATACGAGGTGCCTTTTTATAGGAATAATACGTCACTGAGTTTTCTTCTAAAAATGATAATAAACTTACAAGGTACTGATTAAATCTCATTGTTTGTTACTTAAATGTATTCTAAAAAAAATAAGTAGGTGCGTATTTACAAATAAACATGATGGTAAATTGTTGAATCGTGTTATCAGTTACTGGAACTCATGTTTGTATTGTACCACCAGAAGCCCGATAAAATAATTATTATTTATGAATCGGTGTCTAAGATTTTAATCAAAATTTTACAAACTTTGACAGTGTTGACATTTTTCTATAACAAATTACATCTTAACTCTACTCGTGCATTGGTGCGGCGGTCTATACAGTGTGAGTCGAAAAATCGCATATCATTTGAGTTTTTTTATATTTTGACGCGCAAATTCCATTCTTGGAGTTTGGTGCCATTCTCCCGAATCACCTTGTATATTTTTCGTTGTTTATGGAAGTTACCACGGGTTTCTAAAAACCTCACATCTATCTCTAAGCTTCTGAGAACATGATAAAAAGAAACAGACATATTCTAGAAACATTATGAAATAAATAAGTAAACAAATGCACACTGAAGTCTGTTTTGAAAAGTTATTTTCATTACGTGTTAAATAACTTTCTCTTTCTGTAAAATTATAATTTCACGATTTATATCAGAAAATAGATGTCAAGTATTATTGGATATTCATTTAAATCTGAAGTATCACTTAAACTGTGTTATCTTTGTACTTCTATACAAAATATTATATGGTTATTAGATTATCAGGGGTCTCTGATCTACTTCAGATAGTGAAGAATGGTTCTTGGTAGTAGCGACATAAAAACATATTTTATCTTCGATTTTATATAAAAAGACAATATTTAACGACATGTCATTATTAGTCTTGACTTGTTTGAGCAGACATCGCCAAGAACAATCATGTTGTACAAGGCACTGGTGTGCTTGGCGCTTTTGTCATATGTTTATGGTTTCACGGTACGTATACTCGAATAATTCTATGTTTTGAATTTAAATTTTGAAAAAACCAACCACTGCGGAAACCAAAGCGAAAAACTGCATGATTTTTGTTGTATCTCGTATTTTCCAGGTGAAGCAAGATGATGGTAGTACCACCCCGTATTTTGTTCACCCTAAGGACAGACCTTCTGGTATTTCCCCTAGGATAATAGGGGGTGAGGAGGTCTCACCGCACAGTTACCCCTTCCAAGTGGCACTGACACTTTATACAGAATCTTCAGCATATTTTTGCGGGGGTACGTTGATATCCAACCAGTTGGTACTCACTGCGGCCCACTGCCTTGACAAGTAAGTATAAAAATTAGTTCAAAATTCTTTCCTTTAAGTTATACCGAGAGATCCAGAACGATTGATGGTGCGGCTACTTACAAATATTTTGTGTGCCGATATTCTATTATTTTTATCCTTCGCAGTTGGCTACACTGACAGTGATTTATTTCGTTCAGTGGCGGGTTAAGTGGCGTGGCAATAGGGTCACATATTTATTTTAATCACAAAAATACAACACAAAAAGCAGAATGTTGGCATTAATTAATTTGAAGGATTTAGATATTATTATTATTAACTTCAAAACTAACATAAGAATCGATTTTTAACAATTGTTTTATCTATCCTGTTTTTTTTATGCGAACTTCAAAGCAAACGCGACATTTTTTAAATGAATTTACGTTTACTGTCCACATTTAGAAATGTGAATAATAAATCGACTTAAAATTTCTTAAATTCTGGCATAAAAATATGTTACTTACAAGAGAATTTAAAAAAATAATTGATTTATTGGTTTAAAGTAAAAAAAGTGAATATATACGTTTAATTTTTACCAAAATTCTGCCCCTACTAGTAATAATAATTTTTGTAACTATAAGTGGTCATAATTTCTAACTATTTAAACATTGGAATGAAGAATAATAGTTATTTACATCCACTTGTGTGTAAACGGTTTACATATATGGAATTTTTTAGTGTTCCAAGGAAATAATAATCTAAGGGAGTTGAGTCCGGAGATCCTGGAGGCCATAAGCCTCGACTAATAATGAGTTTGTTATAAAATTCCTATTTTAACTGGATGTAAAGTCGTTTCTATGAACATGTGTGGATTCTCCGCAAACTACGTACCATAATTTTTTGAATTTATGTTTCCATTAAGATGAAACCATGCCTCATCGGTAAAAAAAGTTATATCTAAAAGACTGTCATCGTTTAAGTTGTTGTTAAACCAATTACAACAGTCCACACTCTTTTCATTATCTAATGGTAATAATTCTCGCACCATAGAAACTTTATATGGATGTAAATGTAATTTTCTTTAATCTACAATATATTTCTAACCTAAAACAGTTCGAGTACTTTATATCAGAGAAACCATCAGTACTTGTTTCCTCACCACAAAACTAACATTTATACTGCAGTCGGGTTAGACAAAAAATCAATAGTAGTCAATAGTAGTGTAAATTCAGAATCGCGACTGAATTCCACCCCTGCGTCAGCCGCCATTTTGAATTTAAGGAAAAATCGTTTTTGCTCAATATCTCGGCCATTTTCATCGTTACAACAAAAATGGTAAGGACTTAATTTGTTGCAAATGCGATTTCCTACAACTTCTTTTATTACAAATTTTATCGTGCGATCGATATTTTTCAAGTTAAGGGGGAAAACCAACATTTAAGATCCTACGCTTGCGGAGACGTCAGGCCTATGGAATGTTGAGCCCTTGAGTTTAGTTAGGCTTGTCATAGGCGTAGGACCTTAAATTTTGGTAGTAGCGAAAAAATCAAAGAGATCAAAATTGTAGAAAATATAATTCTTTCTAACTTTGTTTATGTTTATGTTGTAAAGTCAATAACAAACGAGATAATTCAATAATTATTATACTTTGTCACTATTTTCCCCCTTAACTTGAAAAATATCGATCGCACGATAAAATTTGTAATAAAGGAAGTTGTAGTAAATCGCATTTCCAACAACTTAAGTCCTTACCTTACCATTTTTGTTGTAAAGTTGAAAATGACCGAGATATTGAGCAAAAACAATTCCTTTGAAACCAACTCCCGCAATGTCCTACGCTCGCGTCTGTACCGCAAGCGTAGTACCTTAAATATTAGTTATAGCGAAAAAATCACAGTGATCAAAATTGTAGAAAATATAATTCTTTCCAACTTTGTTTATATACATTTATGTCGTAAAGTCAATAACAAATGAGATAATTCAATAATTACACTTTGTCACTATTTTCCCCCTTAACTTGAAAAATATCGATCGCACGATAAAATTTGTAATAAAGGAAGTTGTAGTAAATCGCATTTGCAACAACTTAAGTCCTTACCATTTTTGTTGTAAAGTTGAAAATGGCCGAGATATTGAGCAAAATCCTTTTTTCCTTAAATTCAAGATGGCGGCTGACGCAGGGGTGGAATTCAGTCGCGATTCTGAATTTACACTACTATTGACCCCCTCTAAAGGTTAGAACAATAAAATTGTGATCCCTAATTTTTTCCTGGTTAAATGACAACCCGACTGGGCTATTAACATATGATTAGTGTTGAAAAACACTAATTATTTAGAAGATTCAAGATAAATTAAAAAAAAAATACATTCGGCGAACACAAATGAATACAACAGCAAGCACACACGGAAGGCACGGATGTCTCTGAATTGACAGTCGTGTCGGTCGGAAATCTAAGAAAACGGAAAGTAATTTTGATCAAATGGAAGTAAATTTTAATATCTTTGGTAGCATTTACGTGTGACGTTGCTTCAATCGTTCGGTATAATCCTTCGAAAATCTGTTATTAGTTTTAACTAGTACAGGATTGTGCCGGCACAGAACAATTGCTAAGTGACGGGGCTTGTTAAAACGTTTAGCGTTCTTGCGGTTTATCTTTTTCATCTGCTCTCATATCGTCTACGAAAATCAGACACAAACGCATAATCATAGTGTCCTGTCTTTTCTAGGAACCCAAATTATATCGTAGTCATACTTGGACTACACAATCTGACCATTATAGAGGATGGAACATTGATACTGAATGCCACCGAGTATGTCGTTCACGAGGACTGGGATGGAGGTACTCTGCAGAATGACGTGGCTCTGATACGACTGCCTCATAACGTCAACTTCAGCGAGGTGGTACAGCCAGTGGGACTAGCCAAAGGCAATGACAAATATGAGGGAGATAACGCTACTACGTTAGGCTGGGGAAAAACGGAAAACGTCGACCTCTCCATGGTCCTGCGAGGGGTCAACACGACGGTTTTGACGAACGACGACTGCGCCAGCACGAACATAAATTATGACCTGGTAATTGTAGAGCTGAAAGAATAGGATAGGATTGCAAAACTGGACAAATAGGCTTTACAATTATTTTAATGTCACTTCTATTTGCAGATCATCAAACCCACGCATATTTGTACTTCCAGTGTGGGAAAATTAAGAATTTGCAGCGGGGATTCTGGCGGTCCCCTCATTGTGGACGGGGTACAAGTGGGCATCACCTCTTTCGGAACAACGGACTGCACCGTTAGCGACCCATCGGTGTTCACTAGGGTCACAGAATTTTACGACTGGATCGTAAGGAACGGAAATATCACCTCCGAGAGTTTGTTTTAATAAACAGGAAGTTATATCAGAAATAGTATTAGTTTTGTTGATTGTAAGACGATAAGAAAATAAATGCAAGTTAACGGTTAAATGGTGTATTCCTAAAATTCAATTAGAATTACATTAAGTTTACCACAACACTGTTTTTATGAGTAAAAACAGCCAATGAGCCTCTATCACAGCCGTCGTCAAATCTACGGAAGTTTCATCATAGATATAACCCAGAGACGTCACGGATGAAAGCTTTCTAATGATACGCTTGGTATCAATCTGAATAGGAATGTAGCATTTTATAATCAAACTTATGGTTTCTTGAAAGAAAATTGTAGCAGGTCACAGAATGGCGTAGGGGGGAAGTAGCATGATAGATGGAGCCACTTATGCTCTGTCTATACACATCTCCTTGTGAGTAACAGCACCAAAGGAGCTGTATTGTTCCAAAGACATATGGACCAGAGCGGATCTGTCGAAATATCCCACTTCTTTGATGTAAGATGCTAAGATGAGACAAGCTAATTTTTGCTGGATTACCTTCAGTACAACTCACCACATACTTCTATCATATACTGATCATTTTGCAATTGACTTGAAGCCGAAAAGTGGGGCGACGTACCGGCGTATTCATACGCATGCGTTTACTTTACGGGTTTTGATTGGTTGAAAGGAACCAAGAACGGTGAGCGCCGAGCGGTAAAAAAGTCAAACGTCAAACCAAGCTAACCTAAAAAATATTAATATTCTCAGTTTTGTTTTGTGTTGAAACTGTTTGGGTATAGTGTATATTTTAATAAATAAATAAATAAATGTATCTTTTCAGTTTTATTTCATAATCTGTTTAAACCTGCACTAATGCTTCTATTAATTTATCTTGTGTTGATATTTAGTAAAAATGTTTCAAAATTATACTCGATAAGAGCCTTAATCGTGATGGACATTATTATCGGATTGGTCTTTTACAGATATTTTATAGCATGTTTTTTTATATTATCAAATAAACTGCAGAAACCACTAATAAATAATTATATAATAAACATCTTTTTTATTATAAAAAAAAAATTGTCAGTTGTACCCGGCTAGAGTGAATAGTGGCGATTTTTTGAAATACTAAGTCTTGTTTAATAAATACACCAATGTCATTTAAAAAAATGTCCAAAATTACGAACATGCCTATGTACATAGTTTTAAAAGCATATAAATTTGTATTCTGTTTTATTTTATTTGAGCCTGCAAAATATTAAATAGGTTATGCAGATACTTACGTTATTTATTGAAATTAATAAATAGTAAAAAATAAATAGTAAAATAATGTGTTAGATAAGGAGCCTATCGATAGAGGACTCATATAAGAAAATGGTAGAAAAGTAAACATTTAGAAATTGAAGTGAACTCAGTGAAAATAGATTTAATATCTCATATGTATACAATAAAGCGGCTATAGTACAGAGCATGCCGTGACTGTCTTTTAAATTTAAATGCAACCGCGCCTATTTATGGAACATGCGCAAAACACACAGAGTACGTCTCGCCCCCACTTTTTGGAAACAAGGTCATCCATTGAAACTATAGGTAATGATCAGTATAGGATAGAAGTATGTGCAACTCACATAATAAAAGTGTGGATCCCTAGATAAAATAACAGAAATGTTAAGAAAATTTTTAAAAATACCTGTTTTATCTGAGTTTTTTACTTATATCTTGAAACTTATGCATTTTAGAAGGATATTGAAGAGGAAAAAAGTTTTAGAATTGAATTTTGCACAATATACTGTAGGTAAAAAATGTTTTAAATTTATTACCGATGTTGCAAAATAGCAATAATAGACGAAAAAAAGGCAAAATAATCAAGTTATTTGGATAAATTTTTTCAAATATTTTAATTGCTCCGAGGTCATTCTAATTTTGGTAAAAAAAAACTTTGGAGTATAATAAAACAACACATCAAATTTCATTAAAATCGGTTCTATAGTTTTCGCAAAATAATTTTTTGAAAAAAATTTTGAAAAAAATGTTCGAATTTTCAAATTGTTTATAAATTAACGGTAAATGCCGATAAACTTTGACTCCTTATTTATCGATAACCAATAAATGGAATTTAACTTTTTTTAAAAAAAGAAGCGTCTAAAATAATTAAAAAAAGAGTGTTAACTTTAAAAGTTTACTGTGGCCGTCCTGATCAACCGATTTCAATTTTCCAAAAACCATTTGAAAGGCCGAGCGGTCTGTTCTATGTGAAAAAATTTTGAGGTATCTAGATGCATTATTTGAGGCTGTGCAACATTTTGAAAATTCGAAAATTTTTTTCAAAAAATTATTTTGTGAAAACTGTCGAACCGATTTTAATGAAATTTGGTGTGGTGTTTTATTATACTCTAAAGTTTTTTTTACCAAAATTAGAATGCCCTCGGAGCAATTAAAATATTTAAAAAAATTTATCCAAAAAACTTTACTTGCCTTTATTTCATCAATTATTGCTATTTTGCAACATCGGTNGTTAAAAAATTTTTTAAAAATACCTGTTTTATCTGAGTTTTTTACTTATATCTTGAAACTTATAGAATGCCCTCGGAGCAATTAAAATATTTAAAAAAATTTATCCAAAAAACTTTACTTGCCTTTATTTCATCAATTATTGCTATTTTGCAACATCGGTAATAAATTTAAACATTTTTAACTTACAGTACAATATTGTGCAAAATTCAATTCTAAAACTTTTTTCCTCTTCAATATTCTTCCCAAATGCATAGGTTCCAAGATATAAGTAAAAAACTCAGATAATATAGGTATTTTTTAAAATTTTTTAAACACTTTTGCAATTTTGAAAATGTTCCGGGCCTCGCCCAGATCTAGGGATCTACACTTATATTATGTGAGTTGTACTGAAGGTAATCCAGAAAAAATTGCTTGCTTTTTCTCACATCCACCTCAAAACAGATCCGCCCTGATCTAATAATGATGAGGACCATCAATAAGTCCCAAACCGACCTATGTCTGGTTGGTTAAACTTACAAACGATCCTAGCTGTTCTACCAGGTGTTGCGAGTTTGAAACAAAATATTTTTTATCACTGTGAAAGATTTGTATCCAAATATATTCATAAAATAAGTATATACAATCATTTTACCAAAACTATTCAATTTTGTATTAAACAGACGATACATTAATATACAATACAAAACATGTTTCTATAAAATCTATGTAGGTCATAAAATTAAGAATAAAATTCGTTTAACCGTAAGTATTAAATATTTATTTTAAATTCTGCCTATTTTTAAAGTAAGAAATGATATTTCTGGATAGAAATTCAAAGTATTTAAATAAATAAATAATTTTCTTGGAGAAGAAAATATTTTCTTGCGTATATACAGGGTGATTCAGAACTTATCCAAGAAAAATCTGGATATACAGGGGACCCTTACAAATGCAATTTTGTAAAGAAAAAATCAAAAAGGGCAGTTCGAAAATGATTTAAAAAATACACTTCTGCACGGCACTGGAAACTGGTCCACTGTAAAACCTGACCTCGCACAATGCGACCGGCATGGCGGCGTGATAAAAACGGACAAAAACTTTCGCAAGGAAAGAAATATGTAAACTGCTTTTGCCTTTATTAATTAATAAAATTAATTTGTGTTTTTAAATAATAAAATTATTTGACATACCCGATGTTACAACAATTGTTCAAAATTTTATCCACCAATGTGTAAACACACTTGGGTCCGTTGTACTCAGTTTCTGCGAACTAACACAAATGTTGTCTTGTTTCACCATAACACAAATGCTTCACCATAAATTAAAACGATATCCATCAACTCCGAGTACACGCAAACCATTTTTGACACGAACTACCCATTCTTGACACTAACTACTAAAAACCTATTGTAAACACCACAGATAAAAGGTAAATATCGCAACGACGATTGCAAAATCCGAATTCAGTATTCGGAGTCGCTGAGGCCACGTGGCGAATGACGCTAGAGACTAGAGTTGTCCAGCTATGTAGTGGTTGAATGTACTATAACTTCAATATTTTTTTTCTCGGAAACTATAAGGATTTTACAAAAAATTTATTTACGATATTGATTCCATTTCTCATGCTGCATCTATTCCCAAATTTTTTTGGATAAGTTGTGAATCACCCTGTATAAACATGCGATACCTTAAATCAAATGTTGTACATTTGAAGCAAGAATTTTTTTTGCGTGCATGAGGTACATGATGTGCTATATGAATTTTGTTTATAATTTCGAGAAGAACTGATTGTGAAATATGGAATAATATACAGGGTGTTCCATTAAAGAAAAAGCAACTTCGTTTCGTTATGACTTTTTGACTGATCCTGTATACTTAATTTTTAGGAGATAATCGACCGTTTCCATACATATCAGCGACCCTGTATATTTTGTGGTAAAATATCTATAGGGGAAATTTGAAATTTTGAATCGGTCTCGTAAAAAAGGACAGTCTTTTTTTTGTTACCTATTTTCGTGAATATTTTAATTACTTGAATTTATGAATTAAATTTATCAAGAGATAACACACCACTTACTTATTTAACCACAAAGTTTCAAGTACATTTTAACATTTAAAAAGAGAAATTTCATCAAGAAACGTTCATCACTTTATTTACTGTGCATTTTTTCGCGCCCTAGACACTCAAAACCAACTTTTCACAACTTCCAACATGTTTGGCGCATGTTGCTCTGCTTCGCGTCGAAATCCCGCTTCCAGGATTTTCAGTAGACGCGCTCGGCACCTCCTGCGAGCATCTTCCTGTTCCTGTAGCCGATGCCCAGACCGCGCGGGCTTGAAACTTTCAATTTTCGAGATCTCCCGTCTCGCGCTCGAAACAAAAACAGTTCGTTGGCTTGAACTTCCATCGCTCACGTGTTTTTGTGTAGTTCTTCCGGTTTAAAACAATCGAATGGTCCCAGCCAACTATGGGAGCAACTGGTCGTGTCTTGCTGACGCTTTTTCTTGTCTTTGAATTCGAAGGTAACTGGATTTGATGTCATATAAAATCAAAAAAGTGAAACGAAAGTCTCAAAAATTAAGAAAATGTGTTTATTTATTTGTTATTGAAAAGTTACGACG